ATCATGTGAAGCGATCATGTGAAGCGATCATGTGAGATGATCGTTTGTGATTATGAAAATATCTAATCACAACAATACTAAATAACAATATATTCTTATAGATATTATAGATGGAAAAATACAACGTTGTAATAATCAAGCAAATCGACCTCTAAAACAACTCGTAGGAATCTGGAAGTTAGATTTCAATGAAGTGAATTCCGCATTAAATTTAGGACTAAAAAATGCATTAGAGTTTCTTGGCGTATGTAACAGTCATTTTAATTTTGACCAAAATCAGCTTCATGTGCGTGACATAAAAAATCAAATTTCTATAAAAAAAGTTTAATTCATTTATGAAAATGCCTTTTCTGTAACAACAAGTATTTTTTTAGCTGAAATGGTCATTGTCAACAACACTCTTGAAAAGTTTTAGAACGAAATATTCATATCCCTTGTAATGCACTACTGGAATGCTCCATATTTAATCAAAATGAGATTTCTCAACTATCCACCAACAAAACTCATCCCTGATTTATTTGTCCTTCTTGTTTTGAAAAAGAAGATGGTCATATTTTTCAACAACGAGGAAAAGGCACAACACGATTTTCTTGTTCGGATAAACATCATGATGATACTACCAACTCATTATATATCTTAGGACAATGGATTCAGGAAATTGCAAGTACTTCTAAAAAGTCTATTCAAAATATGCTTTTACAAGAAATGACGTCAATACTTGTTAGATTTTTTCAAAGAAAAACAAACAATGATAATGAAAAAATAGAAACATCGCAATCAAAACTTCCTAGCTTTATTGCATTTAAAACAGCACTTCGATTAAAAAAAGTCAATATTAAAAGGCTTCAAAAGGCTCAAACATATTGTAATTTATTAAAAAAACAACCAAAAAAACTCGGAGAAGCTTTGGGAATAATTATATGGAAGTCACGTTTACATGTTCGTACAAATAAAAGTATTATCGAGAATTCAAAATCATTAGAAGAGTATCATAATAGTTTTCCAGTTGTTATAAAAGAGTTTTTTGATGGTTTATTAATAACTATTCAAAAAAAAAAATGGAAAGTTATTGAAAAAAAGTGCAATCAACATGGACTTGAATCGAAAGAATTTAATCCAACACGTGCAACAAAAATCTCTACATTTTTGATATCAATACTACTTACAGTTGCTTTTTCAGGGGTTAATATCTGGCTTACACATATAATGAGTTCTATATGTTTAAAGCCAAGATTACAAAGCTCATTTTACGCTATCTTATGTACAGCTAATATTATTTCACACACTCAATATTATGAAAGACGCCTAGAAAAACAACAAAGAAATGAAGTTGATCCTCAAAAAAAATTAAAAAAAGGAGATAATATTTGGAATGTATGTGTTATCGATAATATTGATATCAAAGAAAAAACATTTTCTTATGATAATATTTTTGATGTTACTCGTCACACTGCTCATGCAACACTTCGAATAGTGTTTCAATTTCAATTACCCGTTCCACTTTCAGAAATTATAGTAGATAGAAAATTTTTTCCTAAATTTAATTTTTATGTTGGTATATCAAATTTTATAGAAAAAAAAATTTATGAGTATGAAGAAATTTTTAATGAACTTTTAGCAAAATATGGTTCAAATTTTAGTTTTTATGAAGTTAACTCAGAAATCAAAAAAAATATAGAAATAGGTTGTCAAATTCCTGATCCTAACATCGTAATATTAAATCCTGGAGACAATCCAAGCAATACTAAGGATATTCATCACACAGCACAAATGTATTATAATGATGTTGAAATAATTGGAAGTTAACATTTGAATATAGCTTGTGATGAGGCAATATATAAACGACTTACCAATTTATATGATGTAGATTCAAATATACGTTTACTTTTAGGAGATTGGCATACAAGTAAGGTGATGTGTGCAACTTTGTTAGCTATTTTTTCAGAATACGGGATATTCAATTTTGTGGCCAAACTTGGAGTTTCTTATCTGGATAAGTTAGAAAAAGTAATCGACTATTCAGCTACATGTAGAGTACTTGAATTATTATGGATAGCTATTGGAAATGCATTAACACAATATGTTAAAAATCGTAACAAAAAAATGATCAATATTTTCGAAGAAAATAATAATATAGTAAAAGTTTGGTACCTTTTTTTTTATTGGACTGCAATATGGCTTGGATACAAGTTAGGAATTCGATGCGGAAATTATCAAATGCAATTTGAGAACTTAGCTGCCTTCGCTCCACTTTTTCCCATAGTTGGTCGATTTAATTATGCACAATCAGTAACACATTTCCTTGCATGTATCGGTAAAGATATCAATCTTCAGAAACTTCTCAAGTATATATGCTCAGTAAATTTA